ACTGAAGACTGGAGTAATGATGCTGAAAATACAGGAATAAATTAGATTTGAATGTATATTAAAATAGTAAAACGTTATTTTACATCATAATAATATTTCACAATATTACAGTTTTTCCTGTATTTTTGATCAAATAAATGCAGCCTTGATGAGCAGAAGAAACTCCTGTAAAAAACATTAAAAAATCGTTCTGATCCCAAACCTTTGACCGTTAGTGTATATATATATATATATATATACACACACTATATTGCCAAAAGAACTGGGACACTCCCTTCTAATGAAGACTTGTAAACAAAATGTTACGCAGCATTTAATTGACCTCAGGCACGTCATCAGTGTCTACAGCTCGTTAGTTCATTAGAGAAATGAAGTCTAGAGAAGAGCATTTCGCCAAATGTTACACTATACACTCATTATATTTTACTTTACCTGTTAGTCTTAATTATTTAATGTATGTTTAAATTAATCTGTTATGAAACAGTTCTTCACCTTCATCTGTTGATCTGCTGATAGTTGTTATTTGATGTGGAAATATGAATTCAGATCATATGGGATCAGTGTGGCGTCTCTCTGTCTCTCAGGACGCTTTCTGTCTCCAGCCAAACACACGTCTGCCAGCGGGAACCCCTGGGTGTCTGTGCTGATCTCCTGGATCTTTGTGCAGGTGAGTTCAGGAATAACAGAGTGCTTGTCAATTATTGCAGTAAATGAATATAAAATTTGATTCAAATAATAAAAATTAGATATAAATAAACAAATAATAGAAAAGATAAAATATTATTAGATGAAATAATGAGAAATTAGACTAAAAAATATATAAAATTAAAAAGATCAAAATTAGATCAAAATAAATAATAGAAATAAGATTAAAAATGAATAAATGATTAGGGTTCAAAATGAAAAAGGATTGAAATATAAATAAATAAAAATTATGACATTTTTATATTAATACAAGTTTTTAAATAAGAAAATTAAATGATTGTAAAATTATTTTAATAAAAATATATATTTAAATTATTTAAATATACATTTAAATTATTTAAAATAAATACATAATTCATACTACAGTACAATACTAGTGAGTTGAGGAAAAGAAATTCAAATATTTAGCAAATAATATTTTACCTCAGAATAATATTTTCTCTTTAATTGTTTTTAGAAAATCATCCTCAGATGAGGATAATATAATTTGAGGATCTTTGGCTTCCAGTAGATTGAAACTCCTGCTCTACATTACAGTGTGAAAGCTGCCATATACTCCTCATTTCTCCCTTAAATGAGCATATTCATAATCTTATTAGCATGTTCATACCCTGTTATGGCAAAGTTTGTAATTTTCTCACACATTTCCTTTTCACGAAACAGAAACTCATCCTACACTTTCCTACCTTCCCATTTCTCTCTCTCTCTCTCTCTCTGTCATTAGTCTCTGATTGGTTTAAAGGTTCTTTGACTCCCAGAATACTTTGTGATTATGAGGGAGCTGCAGCCATTAGACATGAAGAGCAAGATGACATGACCTGGAACAGAAACACACACACACACACACACACTCGTGCGCTGATGCTTTGTCACACTGTCTGATCTGCACTATTAAACTTGTGATAACCTCCATTAGTGTTTCACACACACAGAAGAGAGCAGCATCTCTCATATCCGTCTCATTCTCAAACACGTTTGACTCAGAAAATGCTAGTAAATTTCACAAAAAATTACAAGAAAACAGCAAGGAACTACTGAAGCCCGTTTCTACCACGGAATTTAAAAAAAAAGTAATTGCGACTTTTTATCTCACAATTAAAATTAAATATAAACTCAAAATTCGGACTTTCTTCGTCGCAATTCCATTTAAGTTTCACAGTTCCAACTTTTTTCTTTTACATCAAAAAAAAAAAAAAGAGTTCTTAAAAAATACGAAAATAAAATCTTAATAAAATATTTTATTACAAATAAATATATATATTTATTTATATTTTTAAATAGATATAAATTCAAAATATTAATAAAGATTTACTTTAACTATTTTATTATTTATGAGTATTTAGAATTTATATATAACAATACATTCATAATGTTTTATTTTTATATGTTCAGTTTTCATAGTAATTTTAGTTTGTTCTTTACCATTTCTTTATTGCATAAAATATGAAAATCAAAAAATACAATTTGCTTTTCCTTTAATCTCCTTCCCATCCTCCCTCCATTGCTTTTTCAATTTTATTAACTAATTTATTTTTTTTTGTGTTTTTGGAGTGTTCTGGTTGTATTTCATATTTTAGGCAAGAAAGATATCATAAAAAAGAAAAATGCACATGACAAAATTACTAAAACTTAAACTAAATATTAAAATCAATGAATTGTAAGATGCCTCTATACCAACAGTGATATTTGCCAATACACTGAGAGATGGTGCAAGAACTACACAGTGCGGGAGTCTTACTGTTCTGAAGATATTGAACTTCTGTCTTTGTCATTTAGACCCTTTTACCTCCCTCGGGAGCAGTACCGCTTTTTTTTTTACTGTTTTTCCACCCATTTAGTCCTTTGAAAGACTAAAATAGTCATAGCTGATAGACAGTATAAGACTCTGTGTGTAAGAATGAGTAAAGCGGTTTGTTGTTAGGATGACAAAGTTTTAAAAGTTAAACTTTTAGGCTGGTCTGCCTCAGTGGTCCAACAGCTCTCGTCAATGTCAAAATTATCGAGATGGCCAATCAAATCAAAGAAGGCGGGTCTTACTGTCACAACGCAACGAGAGTTCGTGGAAAGATGTAAGTACAGTAGTACTGTATTAGAAAACTGTTTTACGATAGAAATGTTCAGCGACCGACAGTAATAGACTATCTAGTGATGCAAACTACTCAACTTTTTATTAAATTTCGCCGTTTCGAATTGAAAATATGCGATCATGATTCATGTAAATCATAAATGGACGTGACGAGACGTTTGCGTTTTCGACTATTAGACATACGAATAAGAGTGAATGTGCACATTTTAAAATAAAATATTATTTTCAAATAGTGTAAATTGATT